TGGTGGAGGAGCTCAGGGAGCTGTTCTGCTCCCTACACAGCTGCTAACAGCACTATCCCATCCCACCCCATCCCATCCCACCCCACAGCTGGATGAGGCCCACAACCAGACGCGGAAGCTGCAGCGGTCGCTGGACGAGCAGACGGAGCAGAGCGAGAGCTTCCAGGTGCAGCTGGAGCACCTGCAGTCACGGTGAGCAGGGGCTGGGGGAGCCGTGTGTGGACCAGCCAGGATGGGATGATGCTCTCCTTGCCACCATCCCTCAGCCAGCATCTGCCTGGTTGAACCCATGGCCCAGTGTCTGTGACATCCTTGGGAAGGGCACAGCCATCCTCTGAGCAGCCTTCACCCCACCTTGAGCTGGGTGGCATTCACCTCCCAGTTAAACCAGTACAAGGCTGCCCAGAGACCAGCACAGCCCAGTTTTATGCTGCTTAGGGTTGCACCCACTAGTACCCACGGCCAGGGCAGGCTGCTGGCATCCCACACCAGTCTGGGGAGGTGGGAGTTTTCCTGCCCTTAAAACTTTCCCCAGCCCTGCTTGCCTCTCCAGCAGTAAAGAGCTGAAATGGCCGTGGGATCGATGCCGTGGCTCCAGGAGGCGCTGGGGGGGTGTTTATAATCATCCTTTATTTTATTGGGACATCTGCATTAAATCATAGAAGCATAATGGAGGATTCATCACCCCCCCCACCAGACTCCCCGTGCAATCAACCCTAAATAATTCATGCTTTCCAGTAAAGTGTGGTGGACTGGTTGGATCTCACTGGATCCTTGGCCTTTGGATTTCAAATTTGATTCATAAAATTTCCTGGATGAATTTTCACACAAGGGCACGTAAAGAACTAAAACCACCACAGGGCAAGCAAAGAGCTAAAACCACCACAGGCTCCTGGGGATGGGGACTCATGGGGTTTTTGAGGGTTCCTCAGTTTAGGGGGATGACACCTCCCTTCTCTGCTGCCCAGCACAGGGATGCCCATCCACGGAGGGGTTTAGCCTGTGCCCCATCCACAGCTCCCAGCTCCAGGCTGGCCCCAGGCTGCGGGGGAGCTCAGGGCTCAGTGAGGGCTGCAGGGAGGGATCTCTGGGGTGCAGCCATGCTGTCGGGGGTGCAGGGGAATGCAGGCTGCCCCCAGCCCAGCAGCTGTTTTGGCAGGCTGCG